GTAGTAGTAGTAGTAGTAGTAGTAGTAGTAGTAGTAGTAGTAGTAGTAGTAGTAGTAGTAGTAGTAGTAGTAGGAGTAGGAGAATTTTGTTTGTTTGTTTTTTGTTTCCTTAAAACTTTTCAGCTGCTGACATGGGCAAAGCCCACCTCCAAAGTAGATGGACATCTTGGAATTTGTATTTGCATTTAGATTTTGTCAAAGGTGTTCTCTGATAATAATTACACTACATAAATTTTCATTTGTGTATGTTGAAAAAAATACAGAAATATAGCCCTTTGTAACATTAGAACTAGTGGTTAGCTTAATTTGGGATTAGCATTGGCAATGGGCAAGTAATCAGTCTTAGCTACTCCACAACAAATGAGATTTCTAAGTCTTAAAAAAAGCTTATTTATAGCCTTTTAAAATTAGCTGTGGTGGCCGTCTTGAATTTTTGATTAGCATTTTGGCTTTGTAAAGATTGTTTTTTGGCTACACTAATCTTCAGTTTTGTATGTCTGAATGACTTCCACTGAGCATTCATTTTTGATCATTCTTGGCTATGGTCACACAAAATTTCAACTCAATGTTTCTTAGAACAGCTGAATTAAACCCAATCTGTTTTTTGGTGTGGCAACCATCTTCAATTTCCAAATGCAGAGTGCTTTTTTACTAGTGTGTGGCCCCCTAAAAAAAATGCCTTGGCCACCCCTGTCCCACCCCCATGCAAAAAATCTAGCTCTGCTCCTGGCTGCTGATGGTCTCAGTAAACAAAATGATAAAGAAATGTAAATATAAACATATATGCTGTTGTGATAAATACACTTTTCTAAGCATTTACCACTTAAAAATAACTACTCAAAAACAAAATTATTGTAAATTGTAAACCAGGACTATACTGCATCTACATAGGCACTACTTTTTAGTCTTTTGCATTTTATGTTTCATATTTCTTATTTTATCCATATTTTCAATAGCCAAATGTGCTATTAAATAGTTTTTAAATATATTTGTGGCAGTTTTTAAATTTATAATATAAATTAATTATAAAATCCAACAGGCTATATTCACACTTCATGCTAATGTGACCCATTTCAGATTTTTTCCTGACAGTCTAAACGTGTCCAATCAGTTTTTTTTTTTTTTCAAATCCGACCCAGGCCTTTTCAGTATTAGGTAGCAACTAAGTCAGATACATGTCTGATGTTTTTCAAAGTGACTTCAGTCTAAATGCTCATGTCTCTTTTTATCCAACTTTTACATCAGCGAGGTGGAGGTAAGCAGATCAGTCCAATAATAATGATACTAACCTTGAGTCATGCAGTTTAAACCTTTGTAACTCCGCACCTCTTCAGCTACAGAACAGAAGTCCTATTTTGTCATCTTTTTCAATTAGTTTTCCATGTTCTGGATGACTGAGGATCCACAGAAATATATGATTGGAACTCTCGGTCCACATCAATACTAAAGTTACTGGATTGATATTTTAGTTTCAGCATGTTGTTCCTGTTCCTTAAATTAAAAACTAAACTTATAGACTGTTTGTGTCATGGGTAAACATTTTAAAATAAATGTGTGCATTTATGGTCATATGTTGCATTTTTTCCTGAAAGTATTTTATCTCTTTCTAAATCTTTCACTCTCTGCTCTCACAGATTTTTCCACTCTTGTCTTCATCCTAACTTGCCCTCTATCCCATTCACTTCTACTCCTCCTCTTCATCAAAAGAGACTCTTTCTAAATAGAAATTTCCTTCCTGTCTCCATAGATTTTTCTTGATGACAACCCAAGTCATCCTTAGAGTATAGTCACTGCCTACAGCAATTTGCTCTCTCTTCTTCTATACCAAAATCCTGATTTCCCCCTCACTTTCTTTAAACATGGCTGTCTCCCCTGCCGTTTGTTTTTGTCTTATTTTAGGCATCAGGAAGGTCCATGTGAGCTCACTTCCTTAAGGCTGCAACATCATCATACATAACAGTTTTCACAATAAATGGTTGTTAAATAAAATATGTCTGTTTGATCTCTATTTTCTGATGTTTGTTTTCACAGATCTTTCTAGATGCCAACACCATCAAACTGGGAAACATTCCCCTTGGTAGCGCTGTAGACCCACTGGAAGGAGCACCTGCAGGCACCACCTACACCAAACAGACTGTGTACGAGCTGTGTGCCTGCGCTAATGGCAAGCTCTACCTGTCCCCAGCTGAGAAAGGCTCCACCTGCCAAACCACCAGTAACTTTTGTCTTTGGAGCTGAAAACGAGAGGATTACAAACACACAGGACATGCCGACTAAACAGTTTGAAGCTAACGCTAGCCAACAGACAACAAAATGAACAAGGATTGTGCAATGGATGGAAGCTGATGCCAGGTAAAAAGCTGAATCAACACGGACTAAAGCATGGCAAGAAGTTTCATGCACGTTCTGCAATCAAATGGCATGGACAGCTCAACAGAAAGCTACCAGTTAGTAAGAGACTGAATCAACAGGGACTGTGGCTTGATATGCAGCTAAAGCAAGCTAAAAGACTAAGTCAACCTGGACTACAGCCCATGTGAGGTCATTGCAGCACACCAACCAAATTAATATGGATTGGTCAGTGGCCAATGCTAGTAAAAAGGATGGATGACTTGACACAAAAGATGATTTTGTACTAAAACAACTCATGGACATAAATGGACAGTCTTATTTTTTTTGGCTCTTGGTGGTTGCCTGTCCTTTTTTTAGTTGCTGCCAGTACAGAGTGTGAAAGTCACAAAGATTGCTCCTGGGATTTGCTTTGTGTTTTTCCTGTTTGACCAAAATATTCATGGAAACAAGCTCCTGTTTTATTTTATTTTATTTTATTTTATTTTTTTAGAATCAACAGAAATGGTTATGGACTGCAAATTTTATGAGGGAAATGGTGGGATCAACCTGTCAGTTGGCAACAGTAAGAGACAGAAATAAATGTTTTGGCTTCACCCGATGGGTAGCTAATAATTAAATCAGACAATATGTTTGTCTTATGGGAAGCTGAGGCTACCTAACGGACCAATCTATACCAGAAAGGCCTTCCCCCTCTTTCCTACCCTTCAAGTCTGTAAACCCAACATTGTTACGTGATCCTTCTGCATTAGTATAAACTTGATAGTTACAACGTCCTCCAGTCCCTACTTTTATAGGATAACTAATGCAAATAATTGTGCTTTAACCTTGTATTCACCAGCTTATTTTTCCCCATCATGTTTTTTTCAGATCTTTTATATTCATGTCATATTGTTTTTTTTTTTTTTCCTTTTAGTTTCAAATCAACACTTTTGCTTATTTTCTTTATTTTGATTCTGGTAATTTTTTTCTGGTACTGGTACTGTTTCTGTGCTTTAACCTTCCACATTTTGCTTCAACCCATTTTTTATGTCTATGCACACCTAGTTGCACCTGACTAGTTTGGAAAATATATATTTCTTTATATACATTATCTTCTACCAAAGTAAGAAGAAAGCAGAAAAAAATAGAAATAAAAAAAAAACATTGGTCTAGCTGTTTTGCTACAGAATTGGTTTAACTATTTATCCTTGACATACCAGTTGTACCTGTTACTGAATTTTCTCTCTTCTCGCTTTTGCTCATACTTTCAGTTCTGAAACATCTTTATGTGGGTATATAAAGGCTATTTGTGTTGTTTGGTAAAAGAAAATGATTTAAAAGGAGACAAGAATTATAAATGTAAGGGTAAATATCTAAGCCAAAACACCATTCAAGCAAAGAGTCATCCCATCTTGAGAAGAATTATGTATTTTCCTCCTGTGTTTCATTTCCCATTAAGACTTTTTGGTATATTGTATGAAATACATTTTGCTATTTTTAATCAGACTTTTTTTCTGTTCATTCTCAACAACATTGTCTTTGTGCTCACTTTTCACTTTAGTCTTTCCTTAGATTGCCGTTATCTGAAATGTTTTTACCATTCAGCTCCTCTTGCTTACCTTCTATCGTCACTTTACTCCTTTTCAATCAGTTCAAAATTATTTTGACTTCCTATCTCATTATTCATCTTTTACCCATCAGTCACTAAATGGCATCTCTTGATGTTGTTTCCACATCCTATTTGTGATAACCCCATTCTTTACTCCCCTCTTGACATACTAAGCTTAAATATCAGGAAATCTATTCCCCTATTGTTACACCACAATCCTTTAAAAAAAAACATCAGAAGCATAACAATAGAACTTAAGAAGCTAAAGCATTTTTAACACCCAGGGTCAAAGTAAATGGCCTCCAGCAGGCTATATTTGAACCCAATTTCCGCAATAGCTAAACAATAGAATAAATCAGCATATCTGTGTGATGAAAACATTTTGAAAGGAAATGTGGAAAGATTTTGGTTGTTTGTGTGTGGAATAAGGCCCTTAGGCTTTTTTTTTCTTTTTAAAACTAAATTATCCACAGGTGCCTTTGCTGCTGTTGGTAAAAGCACATCACAAACTGAAGATTCACACTACCCTCAGTGGACCATCTGCAAGTGTCTCTGAAATATCTATTATCAACCTACCTACCTATCTGTTTGTTTTTCTCTCTCCCCTCCCTTCATTATATCCTCAGTTTGTAATACTCTCAGAATATCCACCTAAATAAGAAGAATTCAATCCTGGTTTAAAGGTTAGGTTTTAATTTTCTGATGTGTTTCCTTATGGTTTTATTCTTGGTAATAAAAAAGCACAAATAATGCCATGTATATATCAATACCAATAAAATACAAAATAAAACAATATTGTTTTTAAAGAGACTCTCTGGATGTCCCGTAATTTCACATTTTTTCTGTTGTTATTTGGAAACATCAAAACACTTGTGTCCCCTTGTGTCAATGCAGGTACGTTTCACAGCAAAGGTGCTTTTTAAAAATCATATTAAAAGAGCTCAAAAGATGTTGAGTACATAATATGCTAACGTTTGAAAGAATATTGAATTACTAGAAAAAAATTAAAAGAATTTTAATCTTATTTTTCACAGCCTTATATGACCTATGCTGGCAGAATGAGTCAAATTGAGCACTATTATGCAAAAAAGAAAAAATATTTATTTTTGCCATAACAGGTTTTTTCATGAATGAGTTTATAAAGACACCATCTGGACATTCAAGTAACTAAAAATAGTATTTAATCTTTCTAATCTGCCTTTAAATCAAAGTTTTAAGTGTCTTCAGAAATACCTTTGTCTTATATAATTTTCTTTAAAACTGACTTTGATTTGTCTTTTATGTCTATTGTTTCTCTGGGACATTCCTTTATATAATGTTTGGCATTATTGTGAAATTTGAGGATTTCAGTTTTTAAATATATGGCTGGGATTTTTGTATGCATCATTCTAAACCGATAAAAGTTAAGTTTTCTAAAATAAAACTAGCTTGTTGCCATGTGATAAATCACCACATTTACCTCAATTTTGAAAAATTCCCTGTGACCCTGAAATGAAGAAGCAGGTAAAAAAGAAATAATGGATGCATAATTTAAAAAAAAATCCCCATTGTGACTCATTTTGCCTGCAGGTGTTACATTTATTAAAGAGTACTTCAGTCCAGTGAGCCTTCACTGAATAACAGGTAAGAATGTGTATTGATCCTCATTAGGTCTTTGGGCTATGTTCCATGCAAATGTTTTTTTTTTTTGTTCTCTTAGTTTTCAAAATTTAATACATTGTCATATGTAAGATCAATAAACTATAACATTGATTGGATAAATAATAAATGTCACAAATTATCCATCAGTTGTCCTCATTAAAAGAAAAAAGCACCTGTATCAGCCACTAAAACACCTTAATTGGTCAACTTCTAAATACAACTTCTATTTTTTATGTTTCTTTTGGTTGTCTTCACACATTTAAATGCCAATTAGTTACAACAACAACTATCACTGTGTTGGTCTGCTTCACTCTGTTCAAACAGCTTGACCCTACTTGGGAATAGACCCAAAAGCCCAATACATGTCCTATTGTGTTGGAATAGTCAAGATGTGTTTATTTTTCAGTAATTTATCCCAAAATTACAAGATATATTTGTTTTGTAAAACCTCAACAGTTTGAGTTTTTGACTTGAATATTGTCACTTCTTCACTGCACTGAAAATGTCTGTGCATTGTTGTTGCTGTCAGTTTTAATAAGAATGTCCTGTCTATATAAAATACAAAATGTTTAAAAAATATTTCACCAAATAAAGAAAGATACTCAACAGGATGGGTGCCAAAAAGACCCAGGGCGCAGGAGAGGTTAATAAAGAAATCAAAAAGGTTTTATTAATAAACAAAAAAAGGCTGTCGATGCAGCTCAAAAGACTTACAGGCTTCTCACGGAGAAACAGGCACAAGGACTGAACATGGGACGAAACACAGCATGGGTACAGAGCATAATGATCCAACAAACACAAATGACAAGACTCAAAATATAAAGCAAACAAATTAAGAGTAAAAGAGAAACACGTGGAGAGACACAAGAGGAAATCAAGTGTGCGTGGGCGGGGCATGAAGTAAAACAGCAGGGAGAGGAAAACACAGGGGAACAGAAAAACACTAAGAAAATAAACACAAAAATGCAGATCATGACAGTACCCCTCCCCTTAACGACAGCTCCCAACGTCAAAAAAGGGAGAGGTATAGGACTCAGGGAATCACGAACACAAGACAGGGGAACTCAAAACAAACAAACACAAAGTTCAGGGGGATGGCTGAGAGACCACCCCACACGAAGCAGAGGGTCTGGAGGGCAGCCAGGAGAACATCCAAAACGAGGCCCTGCAGGAACAGCAGCAGAACTTGAGCCACAGGGGGAGGCGGGAGTAGACGTTGAGCCATGGGAGGAGGTGGGAGTAGACAAGGAGCCAAGGGAGGAGGCAGGAGCAGACAAGGAGCCATGGGAGGATGCAGGAGCAGAAGAGGAGCCAATGGAGGAGACTGGAGCAGATGAGGAGCCAAGGGAAGAGACGGGAGCAGACAAAAAGCCAGCGGAGTTTGCCAGAACAAGAGCATCAGCGACGACGAACGCAGGCGACCCAGGCGATGAGGCGATGGGCAATGACCCAGGCAATGAGGAGGCAAGAGTAGACATTGAGCCAAGGGAGGAGGTGGGAGCAGATGAGGAGCCAAGAGAGGAGGCAGGAGCAGATGAGCCAAGGGAGGAACCATGAGCAGATGAAGAGCCAGTGGAGGTTGCCGGAGCGAGAGCATCAGCGACGGCAAACGCAGGCGACCCAGGCAATGAGGAAACGTTGGGCGATGATCCAGGTGATGAGGAGGCGATGGGCGAAGACCCAGGCAATGAGGAGGCGATGGGCGACGATCCAGGAAATGAGGAGGTGATGGGCAATGACCCTGGCGATGAGGAGGCAATCGGCGATGACCCAGGGGATGAGGAGGCGATGGGCAATGACCCAGGCAATGAGGAGGCGATGGGCGATGACCCAGGCAATGAGGAGGTGATGGGTGATGACCCAGGCAATGAGGAAGCGATGGGCGATGACCCAGGCTATGAGGAGGCAATCTGTGATGATCCAGGCGATGAGGAGGCGATGGGCAATGACCCAGGTGATGAGAAGACGATGGGCGATGACCCAGTTGATGAGGAGGCGATGGACGATGACCCAGGCAATGAGGGGGCGATGGGCGATGACCCAGGCAATGAGGAGGCAACGGGCGATGACCCAGGCAATGAGGAGGCGATGGGCGATGACCCAGGCGATGAGGAGGCAATGGGCGATGACCCAGGCAATGAGGAGGCAATGGGTGACGACCCAGGCAATGAGGAGGCGATGGGCGATGACCCAGGAAATGAGGAGGCGATAGGCGATGACCCAGGCAATGAGGAGACGATGGGCGATGACCCAGGAAATGAGGAGGCGATAGGCGATGACCCAGGCAATGAGGAGACGATGGGCGATGACCACAGCAATGAGGAGGCGATTGGCAATGACAGGCAATGAGAAAGTGATGGGTAACAACCCAGGCGATGAGGAGGCAACTGCAACCGACCCAGATGACGTGGAGAGGCTGGCAGCCGACCCACAAACCTCAAGGACCGCCGACTCTGGGACCACCACCAAGACCACCGACTCTGGAACCACCACCGGGACCTCCGACTCTGGAAACACAGACTCTAGAACATCGACTCAGGGACCACCATCTCTGAGACCACCAAATCCGGTACCACCGTAACCACCAACCCAGGAACCATTGGGACCACCGACTGTGGAACTGGGACCATCAACTCAGGAACTGGGACCACCGATTGTAGAACTGGGACCACTAACTCAGGAACTGGGACCATCAACTCAGGAAACTCAGGAACAGATTCAGAAGACCCAGCAAACTCAGGTGACCCAACAGACTCAGTTGACCTAGCAGTTTCAGCAGCAGACCCAGTAGCACACACAACAGGAGGGGAGGGAGGGTGGGTGACGAGTTGCTCAGCCAGAACCCTCCGAGCGAAGCAGAGGAGCTGCTGATAGCCGGGCAAAAACAGCAGACTTGGATGAGCCACCAGAACACTCTCAATTTGTCGGCAGAGCAGGAATCTGGAAGGGAGATCGGGGGACCACCGGAAGATAGTCAGCGAGCCGCTGATCAGGGGGTGTGCCCTATCTTCCTCCCACGAAGGCAGGGTCTGCACCGGCTCCTCAAAAGCAGAGCCGGTCGTGTGGGGTCCGGGCAGAGAAACAAAAATATCTGCCTCATAGAGAGGCAGACCAGATGAAAATCTCCTTACAGGCTGGGCGCTTGGTCAGATCATTATGACAGGATTGGTGGCAAAAAGACCCAGGGTACAGGAGAGGTTCAAAAAGATAACAAAAAGGTTTTATTAAATGTATCATGCTTTTGAATCCTTCTTTATCATTCACTTATGGTCTATTTAAAATAAATCTGCAACCCTTTTGTCTTAATTCCTCGTTTTTGTTGCTCCATAGACTCCTTGCTTTCCTTGCTTTACCCCTGTTCTGAGTTGCGCCTCAGAGCAAGCTGTTTTGGTGCTGTCTCTTTAAATACAAGTGAGATATTTCACACCCCGCCCCCTCCAGATCACTGAGCGTTCGACTCCACCCCATTCAGCCATATTTGTGGTTTCATAGCAAAAACACAGTTAACTACCAACTAAAAACTGTTTTTAAGATAAAATAAGATAAGATAAAACTTTATTGATCCCACAGTCTGGAAATTTGCACATTACTTCAGCTTAATACAAGAGAGGCTGAGAA